TCGTGTGTGTGTACATCTTGAAGTGACACAGCGAGAAACAGGGGCTCTGCGTCAGGCCAAGACAGCACTGGGGGGTCGCACTAGCTGGTCTGGTTCACGTGGGAAGTTGACGGCACGAGGCACGGGGAATCCACTAGCACTAGCGACCTGGGCAAGAGTGTATGGTTCCTAGTACATTTATGGAAGACAGTGGATTTATCATTGGAGAACCTGCTCGTATTCTACACCGCAGTGTTGCCAATGGTGCTCTTACAGTTGTACCCCCATTCCGAGTGTAACTGGACTTAATTCATTACAGGAAACCTCCGTTATTTTTGTTTTCTTTGGCGAACTGCCAATAAACGTCATTCAAATAATATAACGATAATTCCTTCATAATATTTTCGAAACAATAAAAAAATGCACATGAAGCTTTACATACATATATATATATATATATAATCTGGCAACACTGCTTCTCCATGTGGCACTGAAACATCGCATAATTCAGTATTCTCTTTACTTGAGTATTTTGACAGGTACTGGCTTAAGGTGGAAGGGCCTTACCCGCCTTGAATCAACACCTACTATCATAACACGACTACGGAACTATACGAAAGAGAGAAAGAGAGACATGAGAGATTTAGCTGTCCCATACCCACATTTCAGAGGGATCCTAAATATAAAGGACCCTAGCTATAAGGACCCCTGTGAGAGTTTTCGTAAGTGAAGATAAAAGTGATTGGCACATGCGAATTTACATTAATCCTATACAAAAGTAAATATAATTATAACCTTTTTTAAATAACAAAGAAACACTGCATAGTAGGTCCATGTAACTCTAGCAATGTAAGGAGCACATTACTTGACATATTGCACACCAAACATGCAAATCCTCTTTGCAATATGTCAAGCATCAAAAACATCAAAGACTTTTTTCAGCACTCATTTTGATCATAGACACTGACATCTCGTTGCATGTCACCTTTTGATTTACAGTGTTAGAGGAAACTTTCATAAACTCTGTTCGTTGTCGCACACTGTTTGCATCACATTGGTTCACTTGACACTTGATTTGAATTGCTTTCTTAGCTAAAAGTTTCACCGCGATCTACGCCACGACCTCCTCTTTCACCGAGGGGGCGGAGGCCTCGAGTGCCTCAGGGGGCGAGGCCGGGGGACTCCCCACCGAGGCCTCGTCCGCGGGCGAGCTGAGGGGCGTCGCGACCCGGACTGCGGGGAGGGAGTCGGCGGAGGCTGTGACGATGACCGACACGCCCTCCGAGGCAGCGACGGCCCCGGCGCCACTGTCGGACGGCGAGGGGACCGGGGTGGACGACTCGGAGTGCGGGGCGGCGCCGTCGGGGCGGTACGGTTTGCAGTACGAGTACCGGTGATTCCTGTGTTGGGAGTAGGAACCTGAGTGGGAGAACCGCTTCAGACACTTGTCGCACTGGAAAGGTTTTTCGCCGGTGTGTAGCCGGCTGTGTTCGGTGAGATGATGCTTGTGCTTGAACGCTTTGGGGCACAAGTCACACTTGAAGGGGCGTTTACCTGAAGGAGAAAAAACTCATTAATGGTCTTGTTTTAAGAAGTGTTAGTACTTAGTAACAATGGTTTGAAGTTGTCAAAGAAAAAGCCTTTGTAAATCGGACATTCACCTTACCTGAGTGTTCATACTTGTGCCGGGCGAGGGACGACTGCTTGTTGAAGGACTTGTCACACTGGTCGCACTGGAACACTCCACCTTCCTCGTCGCGTCGCCGCTTGCGGGCTTCGTCGTCACAGTCATCATCTTCCTACAATGCAAGAAGCGGATCATGAGCAATTTCATCCAACTACGAAATACAGCATAATAAAGGAGCAAGTATGGAGTAAAATCAAGAGGAACTGTTCGTCTGACACTCACCCTTGGTCGCTTCTCGCTGTTCTCCATGTGGTCAGGGTACAGCGCCGGCAAGCCGAGTTTCGCCCCCTGGAGGATCTGGGCCAGCTTGCTGTGCTGCTCCGAGATGAGGGAGGGATATCCCGCCACGTTGAGGCTGCTCGACTCCTTCGAATCGGCGATATTATTGTTGAGGGAATTGGGCGTGGGCGTGCGGGACTCCGACTTGTACGAGATGGCCAGAGACGTCGAGTCTGCATCGGAGTCCGAGAAGACGGAGGCTGGCTTGGGCGACGCCGAGGGGGACGACTTCTTGGTGGAGAGGTCGAGCGGCTGGTCGTCGTCGAGGTCGTCGGCGCCATCCCCGGGGGTGGGCGAGGCGCGGCCGTTCAGCGGGTACAGCGGTGCCAGCAAGGACGGGTAGTAGGGGCTGATGCTGATGGGTTTGCTGCTGGCCTGGGAGGTAGGGGCGACGTAACTCGTGGGGGCGTAACTCGTGGAGGTGTAGCTTGATGTGGTGTAACTTGGCGTCGAGTAACTGGTGGTGTAACTGGGCTGCGAATAGGAGGTGGGCGTTGGGGTGATGGAGCGGCCTTCACGCCTGTCGCGGGCGCGGGCGTTCTGGAACCACACCTGTACGACGCGCACGGGGAAGTTGATCTTCTCTGCGATTGTGATCAGCTCTTCCTTCTTGGGGCGGGGGTTGACTGCATAATGGGCGCGCAGGACGACCAGCTGCTCCTCGCGAATGTGAGAGCGGACGCGGACCTTCTTGCCGTCGCTGGTCGTCTCTTCGTCATCGACAACGTGGCTGGAGTCGCCCTCCGCCTCCTCCTCCCTGCCATGGCCGACACGGCTGTGATGGTACAGGGGCTGGGCGGGGTGCATCGGGTAATGGCTCTGCTGAAGATGTCGGTGCTGCTGATTCCCCGCTAACAAGCGTGCTGCTAAGCCTTCGATAATGCGCCCCTTGTAGTGCTCGGTGGCGGCGTTGACCTCGGGCAAGCGTGGGCACTGTCCGCGGGCGTGGTACAAGGCGTCGATGCAGCTCTTGAAGGCGATGCCGCAGAGCTCGCACGACAGGTCGTCCGTGATGGGCGAGTTGCTCAAGAGGGACCCCGGGGTGGCGGACGACACCTTCTCTTCGAACTGCTGCTTTGTGACTGAAGTATTTACGCTCTCTAGCATCTTCTTGAGGGTGGACATGCCCTCCTTCTCGTTGTTGTTAGCCGGCTCCTCGCGCTCCTCGTCCCCGCGCTCCTTCGACGGGTGGCTCCTGTCTTCCTCCTCCTCCTTCGTTTCCTCCTTGATGACTAGCTCGCCGGGCTCTCGGTCTTCATCGTCGACGTCCTCCTGAGGGGCGTCCTCGCTGTGGTCCTTCTCCTCTACGCCGCCGTCCTGCTGGGCCTTGTTGAGCGCCTGTGTCATGGTCAGGGACAGTAAGGACGAATACTGAGGGTGGAACTGGGCCGCCAGGATGAGGGGGTTCAGCGGGTGGTAGGGTGAGAGTCCCTGGTGGAGGTTACCCTGAAGCCCCTGAGACAGGCACTGGGGGAAGCCCTGGTTAAGCACCGGAGTCATACTGGAGCTGCTGAGGCTCCCAGGGGACACCAACGACGGAGGGGACATGAGAAGTGAGTCCCTGGAGATTGGTCGTGTGGGAGACGAGTACCCAAGGTCAGCAGAAGGAGTCGGGGACTTGTCCTTCGGCAGGATGGGCAAGTAGGAACCGTTGAGGGCTGGACGCTTGTTGTTGGATCCAGGGAACTGTGGGGGCGGACGTGGCATGACCCCGTTGGTCCTACTGCGTCCCAGCTGGTGGGGAGAGAGAATAAATTAAGCGGTTTCGAAGGTATGCAAATGCAGGTAAGTGGCAAAATTACATCAATTAAACATTTCCGCTAAACAGGATCAACAAATACATATGCAAATCAGCATCACGAAGAAACACGGTCTACGAACCTGGCATTTCTTAGAGGACATGTGAGAGGAGTAAGATCCTGAGTGGGAGAAGCGCTTGCCGCAGTGCTCGCACTCGAAGGGCTTTTCTCCACTGTGAATCCTCTTGTGCTCCTGAAGAAGAAAGGTAAAGGTTAATGAACGGAAAGAACGACACAAATCCCTTAAATTACACCATTTTCTTATGAATCACACCGACTCCTGTGACAGCTGCTCGAAATCCGTCGGTCCCGAAAGACACGGTGTTCCGACTTGCGCATTTTCCTGCAGGTGTGGGTCGGGACGCCGCCGCCGTAGGGACCCAAAGTGAGTGCGGACGCGGCGTGATAACCAGTGATAATATACACAGGAAGGAAGCCCAAGGTGGCATGCACCGCACTCCTCTCCTCACTCGCGCCTCCTGAGTTACTACTGCTACTCCTCTTTTAGAATAGCGAAGGAAGGGAAAAGGAGGAAGGGAAGAAAAGGAAGGAAAGACGGAGAGAGGGGAGTAGGCAACAGGGAGAAAGAGAGGGAGGTGCGCGGGAGGGGGGAAGGGAGGGGAGGGGGAGTAGGGAGCAGGTAGATGGAAGCTGACGTTGAGATATTCTAGAGGATCTAGGTAAGTCTTCCGGTTCACCTGGGTTATCAGCGCCGGTTCCTCACGATACGACGAGATAGTGAGCACTGTTCCTCGGTTGCCACATTCTACACAATATTTTTTAATTATATTCTACACGGATTATCTCTCTTTTTTTTACTTTCTTTTAGCAACTTGTATCTCCTTAAGTTTCAAGTTATTAAAAAAAATCAGGATATAATTCATAAAAAGAAATACATAGCTGATAATATAATCAGTAATGAATAAAACATTTGTAATGCCATGAAAAGCAGAGGATATGAATTATCGCAGGTGAAAGCACGAGTACGAAGGGTTGGAAGCAAGCACGAGGAAAGGAGAGGAGAAAAGGGTGAGAGAGAGGGGGCAGGTAGAGAGGGGAAAGGGGGAGGGGAATGAAGGAGTGAGTAATGGAGTGAGTAATGGAGTGAGAGTGAGAGGGAGAGAGAGAGAGAGAGAGAGAGAGAGAGAGAGAGAGAGAGAGAGAGAGAGAGAGAGAGAGAGAGAGAGAGAGAGAGAGAGAGAGAAAGATACATCATCACACAAACACAAAAAAACACCAAAAAACAGAGACAGAACCCCAAACACCCACGTACCTTGAGGTGGTGCTTGAACTTGAAGGCCTTCCCACACTCATCGCACTTGAACCTCCGGAGAACGTCTGACTCCTGGTGCGAAATCATGTGTCTTTGGAGGCGGTGAATGTTGGCGAACTTCTTGTGGCACACAGAACACGACTGTGGGGGAGAAGGAGGGGAGGTAAGTATGAGGTAAATATGAGGTAAGTATGGGGTAAGTATGAGGTAAGGACATTGGGATGGGCACTGTGATTAGGTATGCATATACATAAAGATATTAGGTAGATCGTTTCTGTGGGTAGGAGGGGGAGTGAGGGGAGTGTGTGTGTGTGTGTGTGTGTGTGTGTGTGTGTGTGTGTGTGTGTGTGTGTGTGTGTGTGTGTGTGTGTGTGTGTGTGTGTGTGTGTGTGTGTGTGTGCGCGCGCGCGCGTGCGTGTGCGTTCCTTCAAATTAGGCCCAGTATCCAACCAAATCTATCCCTCCCTCCCCCCACCTTCCCCTCTATCCACGGAGGAGCAGCTTCGACCCTGTACCCACAGAAGCGGATAACATTATCTGTCCCTGATTGTAGTATCGAAACAAAATGATTGCACGTGAACCCGCACCCCGCCCACCACCCACCCGCCCTCGCCTCCCGCCCGACCCAGCTATCAATCATATCCTGCAGGGAGAGGGAGAGGGATAGGGAGGGGTGGAGTAGGGGGGGGAGGGGGCTCACGCGGACGGGGAAAGACGTCTTGGAGAGGGTTGTACGCACGCACGTTTGTTTGTTTGTTTGTATGTTTCATTTGTTGAGTGGAGGTGCTCAGCGGGTGTTTTAGGTGGATGTGTACATGGGAAGAAATGTCTGTTCAAATATATACTGTGTATGCGTGTGGATATAAACACATGAATTCAGCATACATATATCAATAAAGTCATTGCTTGATTAATAAATAAGGGTTATTTTGCCACACAAGCAAAAATGCCGTATTTTACACAAACGATCCTTACCACGTTAGCGCCGGTCAAATAGTCGGAATCATCACCCAGGGCGGCTTCAGAATTGGGCGTGAGACTGGATGTGGGCGGACTGATGGGGGCGTTGGTGGGCGTAGCGGCTTCGTCTGTTGGTGTTTGTGGGCTCACACCTGTGTCACTTCCGTTGTTCTCAGCTGCTAGAAGGGAAAGAAAAGAAAAAAAAACAATTAATAATACGAAACGAAGAGATAGATCGCACAAGATGAGTAAAAAACGTGAACAAAATGAAAAAACAAAAATTAAATAAAAAATAACGTGAACCTCTCAAGACTTGAGCCGATCCGGTTACTCGGGGATCATAAAAAACGAAAAGAAAAGAAAAGGGAAAAAATAAAGCGTGCTGATGACGCATGCACGTACGCGCTCACGCACACACGTACGTACAACAAAGGGCCACCATTGAGGAAAATCTCCCCTCGTCTCCCCTCAGCATGCAGCATCAGCACGAGGAAAGAGGTCTGCTAGGCTGGATGGAGGAAACCCAGCGGCCTCATGTGCGTGTGAGGCGAGAGAGGAAGAGAGGAGAGTGAGAGAGCGAGCGAGAGGAGAGTGGGAAAGAGGAGAGAGTACTAATGAGTGAGAGCGAGAAGAGAGGGGAGATGAGTGAGAGATTGAGCGGAGGAAGAAGAAAAGAGGGAGAGCGAGAACGGAGAGAAGAGAGCGGATAGAAACAGGGAAGGAGAAAGACTGGAGAGAGAAAGAGGGATTTGAGATGAGGAGAATAAGAAGAGTGACCTGTGTGGGGATGACATGCCGGCGCCGCGGCCCAGGTGAGCCTCACACGCCCGCTACGTGCCGCCCGCCGCTCACCTGGGCATTAGAAGCCGCCCACACGCATTATTATACTATGACACGCCGCTTTTGCCCTTAAGAAATTCTCACCGAGCCAAAAGGACGGCGCTGCCTTCGTTAACATAATTCTGTCCATAAAAACACATCGTGACTTGCGGTTTGTTGCCATGGAGGAGCGCTAATCTTTTCCGGTCCATCAACTGTCGCGCGCATTCGTGTTCATGGGGGCTCCCTCCCTCCCCTCCCCCCTCCCTCCTCTCCCTCTTACCCTCATCCACGTCCCGCCAAGCTTTCCTTTCCTCTCTCTCTTCTCGAGTCCCTTTCTCCCTTTCTTCCTCTCCGCGATTACCTCCTCTCTCATCTACCCCACGCGCTACCTCCCTCTATCCACGGTTCCTCCTATCCCCACGCTTCCTTCCTTCCTTCCTCCCTCTCTTCCTCCACCACGCATCCCTTATCTTCCTCCTCCTTCATGCACTGTTTCCCTCTCCGTCACCCTTCCTTCGCCACCTGCCTGACAGCCTCCCTGCATCACCTTTGTTCCTCTCGCCGCATCCCCTCGCTGCGCCAGATCCAAGAAATCTTTCCATTTACACATTCGCCCGCCAAGTACCTCTGCTGTCTTCCCTCCTCGGTCTCTGATTTGCGCTGTGGTCTCTCTCTCTCTCTCTTTTCTTTCTCCTTTCTTCCTTTTACGGTTTTGTTTTGTTCCATAATCGTTTCTCCGTCGGAAGGTGAACGCGAGACCCGACTGCTCCGCGTGTCCGTCCCTCCCGCCCCCCGCCTCCCTCTCTCCCCTTCTATTTATCGTTCGCTGAGAATCACCGAGAGCTATGACCCCTCCCCCCCCTCTCCACCCCACCCTCTGGCTCGCTGCCCTCCCTCAAGCTGACCTAAGCATCACCCCCCTCCTCCGCCCCCGCCCCCGCCCGTGCTGACGCTGACCCTGACCTGGAGATCGATACCGAGAGAAGGGCCAATCGAAAGGGGTCGTGGCGGGGGCTGAGATCGCGGGGGGAGGGGGAGGGGCGGGGGAGATAATAGGCTAAACGGCTGCCGAGAGGAAGAAGGGGGGGGAGAGGAAGAGGGGGGCCTAGGGGCGGGAGTAGCGGCGGTGACGCACTGTGTAAACACAAAAACGAGGACAAATGTGGCTAAAATGTAGCGGAGGAGCGTCAATCGGTAAAAAATCATATCAAATGTCAACCGAAATTAGCCATCTGGCGATCGCAAATAAAAGCTTGGATCAGGAGAGGGGAAGCCAGCCACTCTAAAGGGGTGGTGTGGGAAGGTAGGAGGAAGTGATGCCAAAATGGCGCTCTTTTTTCGCTAATGCATAAAGATGCCTCGCGTTCTCCCCAGAACGGAAGAAATGCGCTGCTCTCTTGTTCGACTCACGCTGCTCGACATAATGTCAAGGTAAAACCCCAACCGCCGTGCAAAGCGAACTCGCGGCGGTAATATTAGTCGCCGTAATGAATGTTTGTGACGGTTGAAGAGGGGTTCCACGAGGCGGGTCATTGGCAACACTGCGCGAGGTTCGTCCGAGGGGAGCGGGGGCGATAATGGCACACGTGCAGCTGCCCGCCGACGCCGAGGGGAACGCTGAATTTCAAATGCCCAACGCAAACCTCGGGACAAAGGACAGGCTGATGATACGGGGACACAGCGCGACCCCCAAAACGATGGCACTGAGGGGGGTGGGGGGAGGGCGGAGCGGGGCACCCTCCCGTGCTGCTTGTTGGGGAGTTCGGCCTCCTGCTCGTCGGAAGGTGGGCGAGAGACAGGCTGGAAAATGCGATGCGATTGCGACACTCCGCCTCGGCCGCGCTTCTCCTAACGACTCCGCTTCTCACACGCAATCAGTTTTCGAATCCTTGCGGCTACTAATCCTTTGAGATACAAGATTCGCAGTCGGCACTACGAGCACATTATTGGATAGCCAGTACGTGTAGCCAAGCGAAGCCCCCCCCTCCCTGTGACGCCCCCTCCCCCCCTTGATCCCATCATCTACCCCCCCCCCCGTCCGCTCCGGATTTTCCATCACATCTATGATATCAATACAGAAAAAAAGTTGCAACAAGATTTTATATACGTAATGACAAGCCTTTGGGGCGAAGAAAGTGGTTATATCTAATTATTTGTTCATTAGTTTCTTCAGCGACGTTACGATCTCGTATTTCGTGAAAGTTTACCTTCGTGGGAGCCGCTCGTGGCAGCCTCAGTACCATCCCAGGACTCGAAATATATTACCGTCGCCCGCGGCTGTTCCAACCTGTTTTGACTACCGGGACTATTTCACATGTTTGTAGGCGACGCCTTGTCCCTTTTCGCTAACTATGACCTATGAATGTTTTACCCTCGACAAGTCCTTCGGTCAGCTCCCGACAGGCACTCCGACCCCCTTGGCTTCCTCTCTACATAGCCTAACCTTGCCGTGCTTCTCAGGCTACCTCACGCCGCTCATTACCAACTACATCAGGAGTACACGGACCAAGTCACTTCATCGAGTCATTTCATCCTACTTGACCGATTCAGAGGCAAGTCACACCGAACTTTCCCCCATGAAAGACAGAGCCGAAGCGCGGGTTAGGTGCCTTCTCTCCCTGCGGCCGCGTCAGCCAGCGGTGGTGACAAGCGTGGACAGAATCAATGCTCCATTAACATAATCAGCCGCGCTTCACAGCTTGCCGCTTCGTCACGTTAATGTTGGGAAACGTCGGCTTGATATGGACCGAAAGTTTCGTCTACAAACATCGTGAAACTCCCGACGCTACCCGAATACGCCACGAGGTAACGAGAGGCTGGCCAGCACTTCCCAGCAAAAGCGGCGCGGCAAAAACGTCTTCCGCTGAGAATAAGGCTCCTCGCGAGAAAAAAATGCGGCTTAAAACGAACAACAACATCTCAGAACGTAGCCTTGTCCGGGAAATGTGTGATAATTCTTCTTATATAAACAACGTATACTCCTGCAGGTGGTTGCTATAGAGCTATTTCAACAAACGTCCTAACCGCACCACTGCATGCATTAATTCGAAATATTAATTGATACGCTTCTTCCTCAAGACTAATCACACTATGTAATATATATATTTCGTCTAAATTATGTACCAAAGCACGAAATATTAACTAAAAAGAAAAAGGCAAACCTGACTTCTCGGCCGACGCGAATGAGACCAAGATGGACATAAGAGCAACTCAATCTTGACACTGGGCAACGATATATGCTTATACTTCTAATTCTGAAAGATTTTAATACAAGGAGAACATTCTCCTTCTACATAATATTCCTAATCCTATTGCTATATCTAAATAAAAGTGTAAAATAACAAACTAAATGTCATCTGTCTTGGAGCATCTTCTTTTTTATCTTGGCTATAAGGTCGTGACTCCTTAACCTTCAGCTTATCATGAAAGACAGTGGATAATATGTTTCCGTTAGCATCAACAAGAGCATCTAGCCATGTGTATGTCTCTGCCTGACCAGTTTGATGCTGGTGAAACCTCGGTCCCCCACTCCTAGGAAAATCTCACTTCACGACGACAGCCTTATGGTTCCCGATACGTAGACGAGAGGAGAGCAGTGCAAATGGACAATATTCCAGGGGAGTCAAAGCAAAGGGACCTCGTGTCTGGGACTGACATAGGGCGGGGAGGGAGGCGACATAGTAGTGAAGCACGGCTTGGCCGCTAAACCGGGCGCGTTTGCCCCTGAGACTTTCCGTCAATACCTATACGAGCGGTTTACAGGCTCTCTTGCCGACATCCTAGCAAATCCTACTATCTCATTTGTATCAAGAAATTTCGGGTAGAGAAGAAAAAAATGGAAAAATACGTGTAGACAAATGTTTAGAAAAATCTACGGAAATATTAACGAACCTTCATAAAACCCTTGAATACGTGCTGGTTTCTCTAAAGAGAAAATAAAAATACAAGACTTTGCCTATACGACAATGCGAAAGATTATTTCTATTAGACAAATATTAACCCTACCTGAGAAACCGTTAGAATTTTTGAACTACGGAAGGCTAAGCTAGTGAAACCGGTTTCTACAATCAACCTAAAATCATATTTTTAGAGCAAAACTTACAGAGGTAGTTGAAGACACCTGCGAAGTTCCAGAGTTTGATGGAATCTGTGTAGGATGGCGCGTACATAGTGGTCACTCCTGCCATGGTGTCGCAGGCGCGCGGTGGAAGCAAGGGGCGCGTCACGTCTACGTCCACATGCCACTACACTTGTACAACCTTATCCACTCCACTATTCTCACGATCCACGAGCTCCTCTGGTCTTATAAGTCACACCGGAAGAGCTGTCACCATGTGTGACCTGAGGCACCACTGGTCAGCAGGGCCACGCGGGATCCTGAACGCCCGGGGCTTCCGAGTCAGGTTCTGCAAGACTTGGTCGTGCACTAGTCTCCGTGGCACTGACCCGTAAATACGATCCGCGGTCACCTAAGGTCAAGCAAGTGTGGTGCGGGTGATAATTTGGCAGTGAGGAAGAGTGGCTCGGCAGGTCACTGTGCTCGGGGAAAGAGTTCTGGGTATTCCAATGGCGTGGTTTGGGGCTGGATATTCCAAACGATCCGAATTCGCGTTGTCTCCGTTGTTTCAGGAGGGTTCGTTGTAGCGACGTTGTATCAACACTCGAAAAAATATTCAACACTTTTTGAACACAGCCACAGGAGCGTCTCCGTTATAACGACAAAATAAAAATCCTGTGGTCCACGAATTATATCCAGATTGTAACAGTTTTTTTCAATTCACTGCAGTAATAAAGACTTCAAAATGAAATCTACACTTAACTGAAGTATACGTAAAGTTAGTGACTAAGTAGGTAGCACCTTGAGTTTCAGATGTGGAGCGCGAAAAAGTGCGTGCTATCAAACTCGCAGCTCCTACATGACTGAGGGGAGACGAAGAGCGCCTCAGGTAGGGGAGGTTGTACTGCGCTGCCATTGGTCAGCATCGCCTCGCTTACCACGCCTACTTTCCGTATTGCCGGAAGCTCGCTTTAACTGATCAATTATAAACATTTTTTTTGTAATTATTTGAGCACTTACACCAAAACAAATAATGTCAATATATAACGTTATATTTAGCTTTTGCAAATACATATGTGAGTGAAGATAACGACACACGATACTAGCATAAAAATTGTATGACAAATCAAACACTTCCAACACAGCAAGCGATATCACCTAACACAGTGAAAGATGCTCAGTGTTACGTGAGATGCCGAACTACTCAGTTGTTCTCCTGCAGCGGAGAGTGCAACAACGCAGACCGGAGGGCACATGCAATTGATAAAGTTAGTCACATCTCTTTGATAAACCTGATCAACCTAAATAAATTATCTATCAAAAAACAAGTTAAACGAACTTTATTTCATTACGGAATAAAGGATTGTGTCACCTCTTTCCCTTTCAATAAACGTGTCTCGGAATGAATATATAAACCGAAAAGCTATCCATACATCTCTGTATGTGAATGCGAATAAATTTATTGATCTTTGTCTCAATGCACGAATATACGTTAACACACTTGTAAGCTTGTGCATAGGATCATAGATACAAATGTGTAGCAATACTTAAAATTGTTATTGGAACATATAGAAGGTATTAAAGATTGCAAATATACCAAATGAATGAAAGATATTTCTTATCAACTTTGTATCCGCCACTATTTAAACGGGGGAATCGATAGATATAATAAATAATCTTAAGGCCTTCTGTATTTAGCATCTCTCGGGTCTGCGACAAAACAATATAAGCAAATCATATGAAACATAATAACTGTACTTGTGCGTTTTTATCAATATTGGTGTGTTGGAATAACTGCCTACATTGCTTAGAGCTTTCGGCACTTCGCTCTGTTCCACTTTTCTAATAAATCTTCCGTGTGTTTTTCAGTAATTGTTCTGTTTCTAATGTGGTCGAATTAAATCAACATATGACAAAGATTTCCCATCGCAATAACACGTATGACATAGATGAAAACTTCTATGAAGGTATCAAGGTCCCCAAAATCGACAATAACGACAACAACAGTACGAGTCAGTTGTGGGAGTAGTGGAGTTACCAGCGTCTCGGCAACTACCAATTTCTTGTACAATTTCAGGCTATAAGGAACTTTGTAAGTTGCATGTACCAAATTCATCTTGTATATAATTACAAAAAATAACGAGTAAACTACAGGCGTATATCGTCAAGTAATAATATAAAAAGCATAAAGTTGAGCATCGTACATCAAACAGCAGGGGGTTGTAAGTGGGCGGGGCTTATCAGAGGGAGGAGCAAAAGCTGCGCGCGCACCCAGTCCTCGAACCTGTTGGTGAGGCGGGAGCGCGGACGTTTGAAAGCACTTGCCAGCGTCACCTTCAGATTGTGGCGGATGCTCTGTGGCGGGGACTGTGGCTCGCTCGGCCTCACGAAATAAAGTTTGGTCAATATTTCCTTCTCAGTATTACCACCTCCTTGCTCGGTGTTGGTCTGGGATGACTTTTGTTTTGGCGAGAAACATTATTTACGAAATTTGGACGATGTGTTTATCGAACTCCATTCATAAAATTGTGGAATGGTTTTCATTCTGCGTGCTACTCTAAAGGCATGGGTAGTAATTACGCTTGTAGTGACCGAGTCCGCGAAAACTGAAATTATTCGTGCACCAGTTTATCATTTGTGCAATTGCTATAACGTTCATAGTTTTCAATATTAAAAATATAAGATACAGTAGTACTGAACGTTACAATAGCATTTAACATTAAGAACGACAAAATAAACAAACGGATTTATTTGCCAAATAATACTGCACGAATGTTAAGGTTAAAATCACCAGTTTTGATAAGTTACTTGAAAGGAATTTTCAGAATATCGCTAACAAGATAAGTTCTTATGATTAAAATATGCAATAAGCAATGGGAAAAATATTGTATTAAGTTACCAATATGCAGTAACTGCAGCGAGTACTAACTTAGTGATGCCACCGTTAATATTTTTCCACTAATTTATTTTGTTATTTATTGGTCATAGCTGTAAATAAGAACAACAGCAAACTGCTACAATGGCAAGAAACATAATATAGTAACAATGATAATGATAAGGACGATAATGATAATAATGATAATAATCACAATATTGATGATAATAATAATATTGATAATAATAACAACATTGATAATAATAATAATAGTGACAATGATAAAAATGATAATAATAGTAATGATACTAACAAATAATGAAAATAATAATAAATAATGGCAATTAATAGTGTAACAAATAATAATATTAAATATCGTAATAATATGATAAAAGTAGTCATTGGATATAAATAAATACAATTATTGTTGTCATTTTCCAGTGTACTGTGAATTTGTCTTTCCCCTCAAAATAAGCAAATAAATTGAACATTGTTATAACCAGCTGTTATGGAGAAATTAATTCAATGTTATACTAAAACTACATCTATAATACCGCTGCTTATGTGATACTGACATTGGTTGGTTTCCTATATAATCTTGAATATCTAATTTAATGTCGTTATAATTATCTCCACCACAGTGTGAGTTCTTATGTACTTTTATTATTTTCATAATCTATCAACGTTGGCGATAATAATTATTTAATAAATGAGGCTGCGATTTATACTTTACGATATTAATGTAACAAGTTGAAGCGAATATATAAATACTATTTGTGAGAATAATCTAATAAAATTTAATAACAACTTTAGTAATAATATTAGCATAACTGTTTTCTAGGAATTATTAGCATACAATATCATTTACTTGAAGTTATTGTTGTTAAGGATAAAAGAGATGATGGCTAGGATGCCAAGCACTAGATGCTAACAATAAGGATATTATCATTGTTATAATAAAATTTATGATAATGGTGAAGTAATAATCGCAATATTAATGATAATAATACAAAGGAGTTTTTTTTTTACTATACTTTTAAATTGTTATATTATGATTATTATTGGTATTATTGTTATTATTATTATTATTATTATTAGTATTACCATTGTTATTATCATTATTAGTTATTGTTGTTATATATTATATTATTATTAATTATTATTATTATTATTATTATTATTATTATTATTATTATTATTATTATTATATCTTAGCAATATATCATTAGCATTCTTATTGTCATCATCACCATCATTATTATCAATAGATTTTTTTTATTTTCCTTCTCATTATTATTATAATTATCATTATTATTAACATTATCATTATTATTATCATTATCATCATCACCACCATCATCATCATCATTACCCATATCTTCATTATCATCATTATATTTCATTCTTTAAATATCACTGTTTTTCTTCTTCTTCTTCTTCTTCTTATTATTATTATTATTATAATTATTATCATCATCATTAATATTATGATCATTTTCATGAGTTATTACTAATAATATTATCAATATTGTATCACTTCCATTTTCATTATGACCATTATTCATATAATCATTATAAACATTATTCGCATAATCATTGTTATTGTGAACAGTATGATTATTAATATCATTATCATTATCATTATCATTATAACTATTATTATTGTTGCCATCATCATTATTATTATCATTATTATTATAACCATTATCAGTATAATTAATATCCAATCATTATCATTACTTTTATGTTTATTACTTATATATTAATAATGATAATAGTAATGATGATACTACTACTACTACTACTAATAACAATAATAATAATGCTAATGATAATGCTAATAATAATATTATTATTATTATTACAATTGTTATTTTATTTCATTATTAGTATAATTTTTATTAGTATTAGCATTTTTGTTACTATTATTATTATTATTATTATTATTGTAACTTTTTTTGTTATTATCATCTTTACCATTCTCAATATTATTTTTATTTAACATTATTAGGCCTTTAACTATTTACTATCATAATTACATAATTAGAAAATGAAAATGAAAACAGAACTTACGATACGAAAGAGTGTTATGCGAAAAGGAAATCTTATTTTTGATAAACTTATTTGTGCTTTCAAGTTTGTAAAGTCTTCTATATTGTGTATTAACTGTCATTCCTTACATTAATATTGCATATTGCAGTTGCCGTAACAAATTTTACCATTATTGCTTCTGAGGTTATTGCATTATTAACATACAATATCATTTATCAGAAATCATTTGTTGTTACGGATAAAAAAAATACAATGGGAGGATTCAAACAGTAGTTGTTATAATTAACAGTCATAATAACATCAATATGTATGATAACAACGCACGTATTTTTCTCCCAAAACGTCAGCCAGGTCGAGTGAAGAAGACCTGCCTGATTCCCACAGTCTGTCTGTCAGTTTCTGCTGTTCACTCAGACCAAAATACACAGCGGGATTCTCGAGTTCAGAGTCAGACCAGGAAGTGCGCGGGGCGAGGACGGGAAGATTCGATCCTGAACCTACATTAACTTGAAATGTTTACTAATGGTAATTCGTGGGCGTAGGATCTGTGGCGGATACACACACGCGCGCGCGCACACACACACACAAATATATAAATTCATATATATATATATATGTATATATATATATATATATTATACTAATAATGATAACGGAAAATAATAAGGATGGTACTAATAGTAATTCTAATGATGAGCATCATCATGACGACAAAAGTAATATTGCTACTTCTACTATTACTACTAATGAAAATTATAATAATCATAATAATAATGATGATGGTAAAAATGATAATCATGATAATAATAATGATAATAACAATAACAATAAACAAAATAATAACAAAAATAATATCAACAATAACAACAGCATCAACAACAGTAACATCATTAATAATAGCAACGATAATCATAATAATAGTAATATTAACAGTAACAAAAAA